CTCTAATGAAGATGAGAAAGATATAAAGAGACGCTAACGAAGGCGTGAAAAATTGTTGCACTTTGATCTAACAGAATGTGACACGAAAATGACGTCATCGCTCACTGCTTTTTTAAAATTCCACTTACATTAGCAGTCACACTTTGGCACCTGCAAATTAAAGCCTCCGTATGCCCCTCTTTAGTTCTAATTAAATAAGTAAACGTAAAAAAACAAAAAGACAGAAAAAAAGACAAAGACAAAAGACAATGGACAAATATCGTTCATTTAGCTACCCTATTCAAGAGATGATACCTTATTTTATGGAATTAATAAAACCGTAAACCTATCTATCGTTACGGCAAGAAGAGTGAGAGAAAACGGTAAGGAAGAAAACAAAAATCAAATAGTGAATTATATTTGCCCCATATTTTGTTTTGCCACACAATACATACAGAACTAAATAATTTTTTTAACGTAACATCATGGAAATCAATTTTTTAGAAAGATATTGTTAATGGTACCACATATGCAGGCCGCTCATCCCCAATCCTTCACACTCTTTTAAATGTTTCCGGCCGAAAAAGACACTCTCTGTTTCATGTGAAATTGTATACCCTATTAAAGACTCAAGACCGTGAAAAAGGAGTACCCTCGGAATATTTACGCTTCTTAGTTTTTTTGTTTAATCCAAAATCGACAAAAACCCCACGAGTTATTTCATCCTCTTTGTTTTTGCTCAATTCATATCTTATTTGGTGGTTCTCAGCAATTTCCTGACCGTTTTGCTTTTTCTTTGTGACGAGGAATCAGCCTGGTTCTCAGGCCAATTGGCGCTATTCGAGTGAGCGAAGGAGGCTTAGAACCGAGCGCAAATTCTCCTGACAAGCTTTTCAGGTGACGTCTCATCCGAAATCGCCGAGAACGACTGCGAACGTGGCGCAGAAAATCTCTTGATCGTGAATGGCCGAAAATATCTCCCGCCAATTTTCTTAACCAGTCAGAATAAGCGAGCTAGTATGTAATCGGGCCGCGAGTGTGCAATCGGGCACGTGAGCTAATTTAACGAACTTTTTAATCGTATTTAGTCTTTTACCCTGAAGAAGGCAGCATTGCTGAAACGTTGGTTAAGACACTTTTGAACAGCGTAACTACGTTGCGCAGGGATTTTAGTCTTTATTAAACAACGTGATATATTATTCAGAAAGTAAGCACACTGATGAAATGTACACCTTGATACTTTTTTCTGGAACAAAAACTTAAGATTTTCATTTGCAGTTTATTAAAATGGGAAGGTGCAAATCCTATAGAAGTATTCAGACCTTCTTGATTGCCCCAAAAAACCTCCTTTCTAACCAGCAGATGAGACTACTACTGCATCAACAGATGAAACAACTACTGAACCCACAGATACACCAACAACTGCTGCACCGACAACTGCTGAACCCACAGATCCATTGGGAGAAGCACCAACAACGGCTGTAACGACAACTGCTGAACCCACAGATCCATTGCGAGATGCACCAACAACGGGTGTACCGACAACTGCTGAACCCACATATGCACCCAACAACTCCTTTAGATGGTAAGTAAAACGGAGCTTTTACCAGTCTGATATTCCAAATCCAGGGATAGTTACCAGGACAACTTGGATGCTTTGTCTGTCTCTCTGTGTGTCCTTGACTTCCTTTTTTCTTGATGTCCGCTTTCAATGTCCAGGTTTCGCAGGAGCCGTGACAACATAACCGAGACAGACAGAATGCATATGAGTCTGATCTTT